CAGCCGGCCACCGCCCTGGCTCCGGTCCCTCCTCTGCCGGCTGGCTAGTGCCGAGGCGTGCTTCTCTAGGCGGCTTCAGAGCAGCTAACGGGTCAGGGAGGGGACCGGGGGTGGAGAGCGAGGGGGGATTAGTGCTGAAGATTCCCCGGGGATTTGGTGGCCCATCCCCCTTCGTGCGCAGTCGGTGTCTCCGCAGGCTCCCCTTTGGAGAGGTTGTGACAGCCAGGCGCGCCCCTCGAGTCTCCCTGAAAGCCCTCACTGCTCTAGTGACACCGCAGACTTAGGAAAGTTCTGCTAACGTGTAAGATTCGCAGTTGCTGCGCTCTCTCGGAGAGCGACCGTAAAGGGGCGGGGCGGCGGCTCATCCCTTCTGGTATTAGCGTCTATTCCTGTGCCGGGACAAGATGCTCTGGAGTGGGACGCACGTATGCTCCACAGAGTCTCTTCTGTGTCTCACCGGCACGCAGACCACAGCTACGGACAATATAGAGCCTAGGCACAGACACTGTGTGAAAGAGTTTCTCCCCTCTACTTCTCACAGTCTCTGTCTCCCGTAGAGCCCTGGACTCTCACAGCCCCGCTTTCCTTTAAAAGATGGTCTCTCAGGTCTTTCTCATACAAATACCTCAGGGGATCACAAGATTATTATGTGAGGGTCACGAAAGCACAAAACAGAAAGCAACTGCTATAAAATACATAATTTAAATCTAGCATTTTAGAAAATTAGACACTGGTCTACTGCAATATAATGTAAAGTAGAGCCCCATTTACCCAACTCTCCAATATCCTGCTCGCCATATGAAACAAATGGCGAGCCTAAACAAAATATACATTTGTATTACCACCATTTTAAAGAAATTTGATTCTAGTGTATTATCCTGGACATAGGTTTGTTGTCTTCAGACTAAAAAGGTGAGACTGAGACAACAGAGGGCTTGATCAGCAGCTAAAGAGCTGCATTAAATTGCAGATCAATCAGAACACAGCAAAAAAGATTTAAAATGTAACAGTCAGACACACTGGTGGGGCAGTGCTGGGTGGAGACTTGCACGAGCTACAGCCCAGTGTTCCCTGCAAGCTGTGCACTTGGACAGCCATCCAGGAGAGATTCAGATGCTCCCCAACTGATTAGCAGAGTGTCCATAGCTAATGTGTTTCTATTGGTGGTGCACATCTCCACATCCCTTGGTGCAATAACATTTATTCTGCACATGGATAAAAAGTTAGAGGGAACATTGCTAGAGCCATCCCCAAAATTGCCTTACCTCCATATTGCCACCCTCCCCAACCCAAAAATCATAGCTGGGTGCCCAGCCAGCATCTGCTGTTTTCCAGACACCCAGCTCTGAAAGGCAGCACCAACACAGGTAGCAACATAGAACTGAAGAAGTAAAGGTGGCAATGGGGCACTAAGTTCACTGACATTGACTGGGATGGGGAGGAGAGGAGAGAAACCACACTAACAATAATTTGATAAAATTTAGTTCAGTAATTTAAAAGCATTGAGAAAATTCATTTTAAATAGGCCGGTATATTTAGCATTTAAAAGTGTTAAATTTAAAAAAACCATGTTTTTAATTTAGAAGGGGAGATGACACTTACAGGTTTGTTGTGTGAAAGGGATTGCCTGTACAAAAAATGTGAGACTCACACATTGTTCTAGACTCACACCATTGTCCTCCCATAACTGTGCAACCCCATCTTCAATCCAATGGATTTGTAGTTATAACCAATTTCAGTTTAATGTGCAATCATCCAGTGCAGAAGAGGGAATAAAGTCCATTCCTCATTTTTCTCTGGTGACTTTGCAGCATGAAGATGAATACAACGTAAAAACCTAATTGCTCTTTAAGTTAGCAGCTATGACTGTGTACACAAAAAAACAGATCTGTTAAATAAGAGATCTTTCTACAGTCACTTTGGCAACAGAGCTGCATTCCTATTAACAAATTCAGACAGAACTTACAAGTGTTAGAAATTCAACATGTTATTCAAAGTTTAAACCAGATCATTTATTCACTTTAAATATGACTTATTTTTTTAAAGATTAAAGAAAAATCCAGAAACATTTGTTAGTCACTTTATTCACAATTTTAGGGTGATCTTTCTGTGGCCCAGAAAAGAATCTTCAGCAAAAGAAAGGAAGTTTAGAGGCCAGGACTCAGAAAACTAGACTTTAGAAAGTGAGGAGAGGGAGAAAAGACACAGGGATGGCGAGGGAGGTTATCCCACCTGCAGGGCTAGGACCTGGAACTCCTCTCCAAACCCTGGAAATCCCTCACTTGTCAAGTGGCATCATGAGCAGGATCCTCGGGACGAACGTTTGAAGCAGCAGGGACATCTTTGAATCATACAGACTTCCCACACAACTAAAAATAAATGCACATAAAATGGGATTGGATAAAAATCAGCCTTTTAGTATAAGTGCTTTTCAGTTTAGAAGTTGAATGGGTTGCCTTGGATAGGTTATCCATGGCTAGGGCACTTCTAAAGAGCAGAGCTCAACCGTGTCCACTGAGTTAATGCCTGCACTGGGAAATCACATCAGTTCATCTTATTAGCAATTAGATGAACTGGTGATCAACGTGATTTAGTTCAAATGTAAACCAAAACCAAAATGTACAGAAATGGTGCTGAATACAGCTTCTCTTTGTTTACACTTGCATCTACTCCATATTCAACTGCACTCATTATCAGTGACAGGTCATTTTTCTCATGTAGAGCAGGCATCAGAGAGAAGAACCTTAAAAAAAATCCACCTGGCCAACAAGCTTTCTTTTCTCTTTTGTTTTCAAGCTCACTGTGCTTGCCAGCCTGGATACAGACTAAAAATAAATTGAACACCAAGCTCAAAAAGCTCTTCTGATTGGTCTCACTATCACATACCATAACTCTGATTCTCAATATACATGCATTTACACAGGCAATTTTCTGGGTTTTAGTGCAAGACTAGCAGCTGAACAGCAGTGAGTGTGAGCTTGACTCTGAGGAACAGAATATTTAATTTAAATATTCATTTTGGCTAAGTGGTGTATAAAGTGGTATTTCCCACATTTATATCAGACTTTAATTTCTTTTAGTATTAAAATATGTACTAAACTAACTCCAGGGGCAGTCTAAGGGGGCTATAAATCATATTACTATAGAAAGGGTGCTAAGGGACTCAGTAACTACCTCATGACAAAGCTGCACAGCTGTAGACAGAAGAGTACTCCAGGTAGTGGCACACATGCCGGTAAGATTCTGCCTCTTTATCATCAATAATATTGAATTATTTATCATAATCTAGTACTGCCATGATTAAGACCCCTCACATCACGATCTAGAGCAGGGGTGGGCAATTATTTTTTACCAGGGACCACTTCAGACATTTTCAATGTGGTCCCAGGCTGCCCCAGAAGGGGTGTGGCCTCAAGCAGAAGAGGTGGGGCCAAGACACTTCTGTGCTTCTCTGCCCACAGATCCTGATTGGTCTGGTCTAGGGGTGGGAGAGCGCATGAAGTCTTTACCCCTACCTCCACCTCCTCCCCAGAGAACTGCTAGCTGTTCTGAATAGCTGGTGGTTCCCTCTAAGCACCTGTGCCCCTGGTGATGGGTGGAGACTTTGTGCACTCCTCCCCCTACTGCCAGGTCAATCGGGATCTGGTGGCAGGGGAAGCACGCAAAGTCTGCTCCCACCCTGCAAGGGAGTGCTGTGCTTAGAGTCACCTACCAGCTGAGCAGCAGCTGGCAGTTGACTAAGTGCCAAGCCCCTTGCAAGGTAGGAGGAGACTTTGTGTGCTCCAGTACATTCCTGCAGAAATGTGTACAGTGTTCCCTTGGGGGGTGTTTCCTGGGTTGCTGACAAAGTCACTGCCACTTGCCTTTCTGCTCTTTGGTGCTTCCCACTGCTCTGTCCTGCTGGGCCAGCTCCTTGATCTGCCCCAGCCAAGACACAGAGCTAAGATCACTGACCCGCTCCCCTAAGAAGCAGTACAGACCCTGAAACTCTTCAGGTCCAAGGAAAATAGAGTTTTGGGCCCAGCTTTTTGGGATACTACTCCCCAGATGA